TTCTGCCTGGAGTCAGTCCTGTGAACACTCGCTGCCGGTCTCCGCAAGGAGTCCCCTCCTGTGGGTCTTCTCTGGTGTCCCCCGCTCTGCCCTCAGAGCCCCAGCTGTTCCGACATCTGGAGCTCACCCTTCCCTGCCTGAGTCCCATCATGCTTTCTCAGCCTGACCACGAGCCACGGCTCACCCAGCCCCACTGGAGGCCTTGCCCAGCTGCTCTTTTGGGGAAAATGCTTGTTGACAGATTACTACAGAACCCCCATGGAATACTGCATAGATTTCAAACACAGAGAGAAAGAATGCTTCTTTCATGAGAGAGCTGTTGTGTTTTATCTCATGGAGGCAGGAGTGGGTTAACAGATGGACGGTTCCGGAACGGGTCACGTGGGCAGGCTAAGTAGCTGTCTCAGATGGTGGATGAAGAAAACTGAATTTATTTAAGGAAAGGGGTGGGGGATGGGATACCCAGAGGGAAGGGCTGAGCCGCACCGGGCCAAGGGGATATGGGGTGGCCGATGGCAGCACAGGAGCTGGCGTTTCATCCTTAGATGCGGTCACTGGCAGATTTGGGGCTGAGGTGGGCTTGGAAGGCGGGTGGATTGCAGGCGTGCGATCAGGTGCCTCAGGACAGTTTCCACTCCTTGTGCGGTCTGACTCCTGGTGTCCGGCAGCTTTTTCCTGGTCTTTGTCTCCTGTGGCGGGAAGCTTACAAATGGCCGTAGGGGTGGTGTTGCCCTACAGCCCTAACAGACATCGCGGTAGAAATTCAAGCCTCGAGAACCAAGTGCAGAGATGCCTGGGGAGGAAAGGCTCCCTGGTCCCTTGAACTTACATCACAGGAGGCTCCCGTTCTTCGTGGCGCACTGGCCCTTCTGCACTTGAGTCTGTGAACAGCACACAACTCAATATGAAATCGCCTTTTTTCTCTTTCCTATTTGAAGACCAGGAAACACACTCCGGGGGGTGAGCGGCCAGCCCACAGAGCTCCTGGTTGGGTGCTGGGCAGGGACGGGCCGAGGCCTCTCGCTCTGCCGCCTCCCCGCCGAGTGGGCGTCCACGGGCCAGGCCACACACCGCAGCGGTCCCTGCGGCCAGCGGCAGGCCTGCTTTGAAACCGGTGGGCTGCGCCCTCCTCACTGGCCCGCGAGCTCTGATGTCATGGGCAGTGGTTCCCCTGCTGCTGACCCAGGAAGCCTGGTCTCGGGATGTCTCCCACGTGATTAACAGGCGCCAGACTCACAGACATGCTGGGCCGACTGCTTGGTGCCGAGACAGAGGGGCTGCTGGTGGGGACAGAACAGCTCCATCCTCGGGGTGCCTCTGATCTGCCAGGTGCACATGCCGCGGCAGCGCTCCGGCCCGCCGTCCCCCTCCCCCCACTGCCAGCTGCTAAGGTCCAGGGGCTGGAGACAGACTCCTTGTCCCCGTCTCCTCCTCCTGGACTGACCTAGTCCCTTGGAGCGTGCCCGCCACCTTCGTAATAAACAGAATATTGGAAGGACAACTGAGGTGTGGCCTCCTACCTGCAGCAGGGCCGGCGGGCCTCTTGTTTGCACAAGGATGCGATGTGAGGTCTCTTATGGGTATTGAGGTGGAATTCGATCACGTGGCTTGGAAATAGCGGCAGGCTGCACAGTGCAGTGGGTGGGTCAGCGCCACGTCTCTCCCACACGCCACAGGGCTCCGTCCTCAGCCATGCCCTCCTCAGCTCCTGCTTTAATGGCACCATGTGTGGACATACAGAGGGCAGCTTCATGGAGTGGATGCCAACAGGCTTTGAAGTGGGATGCAATGATATTCAAATCTCAGCTTTGCCACTTGGCTGTGTGCCCTTGGGGAAATTACCCAACCTCTCTGAACCTTGTTTTCCTCTCATGTAGGGTTGTTCTGTAGATTAAATGATATAATGTATGTGGCTGACTTCAGTAAGCAGTCAATAAATGTCATATGGTTGGTGTTTGTATTTGTGAACGAGATGGAGTTGGGAGGAAAGGCTGATGCCACTGTCTACCAAGGGTCCCAAACATCGAGTGACTCAGATACACGGGAAGTCCCATCCTTCCAACAGATACATTGCACACGCAGCAGCCATGTTACAGGACTTGGGTTTTGGCTGCCAGTTGGTGCTGGGAGCACCAGAAGCTCCGGACCCCTTAGCCTCCGAAGACCTCTGGCTTTGTGCTCCAGCAACAACAGGATGGTCCTTACCTCCCTGCTTGAAAGCCAGAATGCAGGAGCCTGCTTCCCAGAAAGGTTGCCCGTAGGGTAAAAGGACCTTTAATCCTTTTTTATAATTGC